TATTATATTATTATTATATAAATTATTAGTAGTAACTGGATATTAAAGCTCACGTCTCGATTGCCATCATTATAATTGAAAAAATGTTCATAAATGCGAGAAATATCTAGGAACAAGGGCCGGATGTCGTAACAGATGACATGCTGGACTCAATTCAGAGTCCCAATATAATTTTTGTCTATTCGGACAAGAGTCCGAATAGTCACTTCGCATAAAATATACACACTTACCCAATGTGGTGATGTGGGAATGATGAAATTCTCGGTTTGCATACTGGCAGATCATACAGGTTTTGCCCACACCAGCATCCCCAACAAGAAGAAGGCGCACTAAATCGTCGTATCGTTTTGCCATGATGATAATGAAGTATGGTGAAATCTACAAGTAGGTAGCGTTTGACAATCAAGCAGTCTGGAAGTGGAAGGACAAAAATATAAATCTAGATTATTTAGATCTAGTTTTCAATTCACAATCTATCAAACAATCTGTATAAAATAAGGCCGGCTCTATTTCTCCGAACGCTAGGGAAAATAAATTTGAACTCTATTTCTCCGAACGGTTTCCGTTCTCGAGATTTGTTGATAATTTGCGAATGGAGTGGCCACGAGCGCGCATGTGTTAGTGTGTGTGTGTGTGTGGGTGTGTAAGGTGTGAATGGGGCGTGGGGGGTGAAGGGATTTCATTTTTTGGGGTTTACATATGAAGGATTAAATAGTTTTTGCTTTAGGTGTGACTAAATGTAAAATAGGTTACAGGTTGAGCTCTTACGTTCCTTTAGAACGCATTTTCAAATGAAGTATAGTCCCGGAACGTTGCCCCAACCACAACCGAAATATCTGAATATTCAGACATTAAAAAATCTCTAGCTCTAGAAATTGACTTAGATACAAAAAATGCTTCTTCCCAGTCCTTGCAGAAAGGCATATATGACAGATGACGCCTAAATCTCACTAATAACCCAAAAATCTCGAGAACGGAAACCGTTAGGAGAAATAGAGATCGAGTTTATAATTTTCCCGAGCGTTCGGAGAAATAGTCACTACCATAAAATAATATTATAAACATGAATACGATACAAAAACAATTTCAGATCATGCACAAGTGGAAATCAAAATGTCACTAACTTTTTTTCCACATATAACATTAACAAACTAGAATCTAGAAATTATTGATTCTATTCTAATATTATACGGAGTGATTATTCTCACCCGGGGTGAGGATAAACTGGATATTATTCTCACCCGGGATAAGAATAAAATTGATACTATTCCGTTTTTTTCATTTCCGCCCTTTTTATTTCGTTTCGGGCATCATGGGACCCCTGTCCCTCAGCGCTCCAGACGACAAAACTCGCCTCCCTCTCACACTCCACTGAGCGCATAAGGCGACTAAAATCGCCAACGGGCGGCCCAGCTCTCGAGCGTGGGAGGCTACTATTGTCGATTTGGGGGAAACCCTTATCTTTTTCTAAAGCAAATAGCGTCACATTTTGTTGAGATTGGTTCTGTAGGCCCTAAGGCAAATTTTACTCTTGAATGGTTTAACCAATGGACGAGGCTAGCCGTACTACTCTTGATGGCTAGACTAACCATAAAAAAGGCCTACTGAATTGTAAATAAATTTTTAGTTTGCAGTACGTAAATAACTTTTGTATTTGAGACGAAACCAGGTGCCTTGATGACAGTGCATGTATTTTAAACCTCCTGTATTCTAACGTTAATGGAAGAGGCAAGCCGTGCTTAATGACGGCTTAGCGCTAGACTGGTTGGCTAGACAGCTGGGCTAGCCGTACTTATTCTTAATATGATGGCTAGACTGACCATAAAAAAAAATAGGCCTACTGAATTGTAAATATAAATGTTTAGTTTGCAGTACCTAAAGTATGAATCGTATTTGAGATGAAACCAAGTGCCTTAATGACAGTGCATGTATTCTAAACCTCCTGTTTTCTAATGTTAATAGGGCCTAAGATAAGTACGGCTAGACTTCTTGGCTAGCCGTACTTAAGTACGGGGAGACAGCCAGGCTAGCCGTACTTAAGTACGGGTAGACTGTCAGTCTAGCCGTACTTAATATTGATGGCTGAATTGTAAATGAAATTTTTAGTTTGCAATGCCTAAAGTATTTGTATTTCAGACAAAACCAAAAGGTCCTTACTGACTTGCATGTATTTGAACCTGAATAATTACTAGATCTAGATCTAGATCTAATGAAACCTGTGTACTCAACTTTACAGGTTTGAGTCGATAGGGCCAAACCTAGATCTAAGTACGGCTAGCCACTTCACTGTTAATAGGGCCTAAAGATTTAAGTACGGCAAGACTACAGCCGTACTTAAAAGTACGGCTAGACTTCTTGGCGTACGGCTAGACTGTCAGGCTAGCCGTACTTGATGGCAGAATTGTAAATGAAATTTTTAGTTTGCAAAGCCTAAAGTATTTGTATTTCAGACAAAACCAAAAGGTGCCCACTGACTGGTAATATTAAAACATAGGCTGGCACTATTTCTCCGAACGTTCAGGAAAATAAAGCTGGGCACTATTTCTCCGAACACTCTGAAATCACATCCTTTCCCGCAAATTTCGGATATATATATAATATAGATCTATAATTATAGTATAGGCCTACCAAAGATTGTTCGTATACATTATAGTTCAATCGGTCCAAAAAATGTCTGCAGTAAATATTGATATATATAAAGAAATGCTACAGTTCCAAACAGTTTTTCGCTACATATATGACGTGTTGCCTATGAAGGGTGCTGCTCTTAAACTTAAATGTGTTGTGTTCACTCGTGAGCTGTCCAGATCTAGATCTAAATCTAAGGAGGGTTTTATTGATAACGACACATAGAACTAGCATCTTCACTTAGCTTCACTTCGTCTCTTTCTCACTTGTTGTCACCACGTTGATTTGTTGAATACGTTACAGTTACTTTTATTTTTCCCTCTTAGTGGTGTTTTATTTTGTATGTAATTTTTTTTCTTGTTATTGTTCTGATGTGTTGTTTTTCTATCCGTTTTTTTTTGTTGGGAAAAAAAAAGGGGGGGGGGGGGGGTGTTGGTTTAGTGTAAAGTCATTTAATTTGATGTTCCTACCTTCATTAGATTATATATTATATACATGTATATTAAATATAGATTTAAATGTGTTATGTTAGAGCGTACGTTCCACCAAAACCGATTACATCATGTACTGACACTGGCAGGCCCCTTAATGTGTGTTTTTCCAAAATTTATATGTAATATTAATATCCTGTACCTTTTTTTAAAAATACGCTCATTTAGGGCTAATCTTCTTTGGACAGGTGGACACACGCCCTTATTTGTTAATTTTTGTTGTTGTTTATGGGCTGTTCTAATTTTGATTTCATTCTCTTGTGAAACCTTTCTTTTTCACGTTTTTACACTCTAAAAATCTCTAAACTAGCTATTGAAAATTGAAATAGATATAGACCCAAAAATTTGCTCAAGGACTGTGTGTGTGTGTGTGTGTGTGTGTGTGTGTGTGTGTGTATGCATGTGCGTGTGTCTGTGTGTGGTAGTAAGTGTGTAAGTGGAGAGTGAGGAGTGTGTGTGTGTGTTGTTGTTTTTTTGGCTTTACTTCAAACAGCCTTTATTCAGTACATGTAACAGTTCAAAGTATACAAAAATAGAAACACAGGATCCATTCACTCCAGGGCTCATGAGTCGTTCCTCTCTTTCAGTTTCACTCATTCATTCAATTCCCGTGTTCTCTCCGGCGGCTCATCCCCGTCCGCATGACTTTCACACCCCACCCCCTCCCTCCACGCACACACAAAGAAAATCTCACTCATTCCCTTGCACTTGCACCCTGCGAACCAAGGACAATAATATAGGCAAAACACTGCCTTAGCCGCATTTCTTTCGTTCGTGAGCTGTGGACCAGGCCAGGGAGTCAGTGTCGTTGTCTGGTTGGTCGTCGCCTGTGGATACATTCGTACATTCTTCCTTTCACCCGCTCTTTCACTCACACTGTTTCTCCATCCACAGCTCAGCCCGTCATACGTTCAAAAGTTGCCCACTGATCATGTTTAGTTAGTGTGTGTACATGTACATGATGGTGGTGGGTGTGTGGTGGGTGTTACTGAAGGTTGTCTGTAGGCGAGCTTGCCATGCGGTGTTCCTTCCCAGACCAGAGGCAGAATGAAAGTTGGCGCCGAACTCTCGTAATAAATAGGCAAAAAATAGGCAAAAAATCACGAGACCGGAAGCCGGAAATCGTTCGGAGAAATAGTCACTTCGTAAAACATAACAACTACTAGATCTAGATCTAATGAGACCTGTGTACTCAACAGGTTCGAGTCGCGAAGTGACTATTCGGACTCGAGTCTGAATATGAAAAAATGTTATTCGGACTCTGATTCTTGTCCAGCATGACATCACTTCCGACTTCCTGTGACTCGTGAATCCGGCTTCCTGTCCTGCCTCACTCGTGACTCGCCTCAGGCTGGGTAGAGACCGGGATCACTTCGGGCAAAAAGGCGTTTTGTGCAGGAGCCGAGTTTTAATCTTATGATGAATTTGAGGCTGGCCTGAAAAGTTACAGCGCTTCTAATAACTGTTTATTTGTCAAGAGGACATCAGAAGCAATTAAAGATGGCTCGTTAGCGTGTGTCGGGGTCGGATGGGCGGCCAGCACACGTGTGGCTGTGTGCGTGTCGGGGAGGGGGGTGGGGGGCACTATCGGCCCGGGCGTTGAACGTCGCATACGCGTCAGTCTTTTTCCCCCCGGCAACTGATCATTATTACAATAATAAGTTAGTTTTGACATAGATCTACATAATGAATTGTGCGCTGGTCTATGGAATCAAAAGTTGCTGTATGTATGCTCAGCTCTACACAGCAACACAACTTTTTCTTGGTAAATAATCGAGATGACACAGGCTTGTTGTGTATTTGAACGATTCTGTCTTTTTTTTTTACACAGCTCATAATATGCAGGTGCCAGGTGGTCTGCTAATCTTCAATTTTACCCTTTTCTACAACAAAGAAAGTGGGAAACATGGGGGGTGGGGGGCGTATCATTGAGGCGACAGGCATTGGATTGGCAGAAAAGGTGTGGGGGAAACTAAAAAATGTCGGAAAATTGGAAGCACTGAACGTTAGATCTAGAATCTAGAACGAAGACACTTCCTTTTTTCCGGACCCGAGTCCGAATAACATTTTTTCATAATTCGGACTCGAGTCCGAATAAGAAATTTTTTTATTCGGACTCGAGTCCGAATATGAAAAAATGTTATTCGGACTCGATGGCCATTATAGGGCCAAACTTAGATCTAAGTACGGCTAGACTGGCAGTCTAGGCGCACTTAAGAACGGCTAGCAACTTCGCCCAATTAATTCGGGCACCTCACAGGGTTTAAATTTGTCCCGAACAAGAACCAGATTTATGATGAGCCATGCAGATGCATCATGTAGCCCATTGACTGAATACTAACCATCATCACATGTAAACAATAATGACTCAGTCGCAGACTTCTAGATCTAGAGATCTTAGATCTAGATCTAGATCTAGATTAGTCAGTGAAAAGTAAGTCCAACAACAACAAAAAGAGAAGTTTTACCCGAGTTTCAGTAAGACATGCTGTCACATTCTTAGCAAGACGAACACTAGGACTCCATGGCCATGAGACTAAAACACCACCACCGTCCACCACCAAATCCTATGTCCATATCCACGCGAATCACGAGGCGAAGCAAGTGTACACATGAGCTACCCAGGCCTAGGCCATGGATGGAAAACACGATAAGTCACGATGTTTGATTTTGAAGATCAAGATACGGTTGAATTGTCCGACCGATGTACTGCTTGCTGGGCCTATCAGTGAGCAAACTCTGGAGTACAGTATGTCTTGGAAGCTTGAACTTCATAGAATGATAAAGACTAGGTTTTTGTTGTGGTTTAAAATTCCAGTATAGAAAATATTAACACAAGTTGTAAAGCTCAATTCTAAAACGTATGTCAAGTCTACACAAAATTATTTTGAGTTCTTAGTTGTTTACAAACCAAGAGTGGTTGCCCTTTGTACCCCCCCCCCCCCCACCCCATGAC